CGCCCGCGAGGGTCCGTTGATCAGCCTCTCCCCGCTGACAAAGAGGATCTGCCCGATGGGGAAGTAGAGGAGCCAGTTCTCCAGGTGCTTGGCGTAGATGCCGATCTGGATGGCGCTCCACGAGGTGTCGATCAGGCCCGTAGTCCTGTTTTTGAAGGTCAGGCTCTCAAAGGTGGGGATGTCGGGCTTCTTGGAGAGCGTCTGGGTGTAGTCCGAGATGGCTCTGGTCACGGGGTCCCGCACCACCACGATCAGCTTCGTGCCCTTGGACATGGAGGAGATGCGGGCGGGGGCCTCCTTGGTGACAAAGTAGCTGGGGGTCTTCTCCATGGTGATCTGCCCCTCCAGGGTCCTGGGCATGAGGTCTCTAAGATAGGGAGAGGGGCACACGTTAGAGCCGAATGGCCCCCAGTGGGGTGGGGGATGCTGAGCGTGGGCAGTGTTTGGGGCTGTCCCAGGTACCAAGGGCAGGACACTTCTGAGCCTCAAGCCACCAATCCAGCTTGCTGCCCTCCTCGTGCAGATTCTCAGGAGGGCCCATAGTGTCTGATTCAGCAAAGCATCTGAGCACAGCCCTGGCTTCCCACTTCCCTTGGCTGCCTATTTACCTAGAATTAGACCTAAATCCATCTTGCCTCTGAGTCCTCTAAGGAGCTTCTTGAGGAGGATCCCACCACCCTTCTTGCACTGTCACTGTAAGAACACAGCCCATTTCTACAATCCTAATGTCCTACCCCTTTAAATTCCTCTCTGCTCACACTGGGATTTCCTGCCCATCGGCTTAAATTCCCTGGAATAACAGCAAATTTCTCCTAACAACACTCCCTTCCTGCAGGGCACAAGGGATTTTCAAGGGCCCGGAAGCAAGACTCTATCTTCTGGTATTTTCAAGGTGGCAGCAAGCTGATGTCACATAAAAATGTGCAGTATCAGCCCCCTGACCTCAGCAATTTCCTTCTTCCACATGAAGAAATCCTACACACAGGCTGCTTTGGGAAGCTCTCCCAGCCAGGAGTGGGAAGGGGCTTGGGGCTTGGGCCAGGGTCCATCCAGCTGGTCCCCTTGAGAGGGCAAAGCCCTCCTGGGCCAGGCACTAAGTGTGATCTGCTAAATGACCTCAGGCTTTGGCTGTAGGATCATAAAATCCCATGGAATCATAGAATGGCTTGGGTGGGACTTCATTAAAGGTCATCTAGTCCAACCCCCCTGCAGGGAGCAGGGACATCTGCAACCAGAGCGGGTTGCTCAGAGCCCTGGGCAACCTCCCCTGGAATGGTTCCAGGGATGGGGCAGCGACCACCTCTCTGGGCAGCCTGGGGCAGGGGCTCATCACCCTCAGGGTAACCTGAGCTACTCTGTTAAACAAGGTAGGCCAGGAAGGTGTAGGAGCCACAGGAGCAACCATCTGTCTGCTCCTGGATGCTCCCAGCTCCTCTCCTTTCCCCTCCTTGCTTTCCACACCACATTCCACCCCCTCACATTCCATCACCCCTGGAGAGGAGTCAGCACCTCCAAAAAGCCCCTGATGTACACAATTTTGGGGAACCCTGGGTTCCCCAAAGCCACCCCTTCTCCCAGGCTCTCAGCACTCTCCCTCAGCTTGGCTCCTCCCAGCAGTCTGGTCCTTGCCGGGGGGGGTGGGAGATGGATGGGGGGTGGCTGCAGTGCTGGGAGGTTCACCGCCGTGCCAGCAGTTGTGGTGGTGTGAGGAGCAGGGACCCACAGCCCCCCTGCCCTGACCCCTTGTCCTCGACCTCGCTGTGGCTGCAGCCCACGGGTGCCGTGATGAACTGCTCCCTGCCCGCCTCCTTCTTACTGTCTTGCAGCAGCAGCATCTGGTTTGCAAACCTCTGCAATATGCCAGCAAAATTAAACTCATCTATCAAAAAAAGCAACAATGAAAAGCCAACAAGGGCTAAAAAGACCAATGAGAACCCAACCCCAGGCTCAGTCGTCGTGTTACAAATGAGGCAGCGAGGTCTGACCCTTCCTGAAGCAACGCTTGGTGTTTGCAACCACACTCACAGAGCCTGAGCAGACATGGGCCTAGAGAAGCCAAGTCTTTGCTGGTCTCTGCTGAGGGTTTCTGTCTGGGGGGAATTCCATGAACTTGGGATGTTCAGGCTGCAGAAGAAATGAGCAGAGTGGTGCAAGAGAGCTCTTGCACATCCTGAAGGATGTGAAGACATAAAGGCAATTGCTGCTGACCCTAAGGATGGAGACAGGTCCACACCAGCACGAGGATGGTCTTTGCTGAGCAGACACATAATGTTGTGGTGGGATTTGGCATCACCTGATGCTGCAAAGGACAAAAGTGTAAATGGTTTAGAAACAGACTGGCTGAATTCATGGTGAATTTGGCCAAACTGAGTTGGTGGCAATGAAAGGTGAGAGTTCCAGAGCCACATCAGCCATAGGGAGTCCCCAGTCCCAGCTGCCCTCAGCTGGGAGGAGGTCACAGGAGAAGGATCTCTACAAACCACCAGTTTTCAGAGAATCATACAATGATACGGGTGGGAAGGGACCTTTAAAGGTCATCTAGTCCAACCCCCCTGCACAGGGGACATCTGCAACTAGAGCAGGTTGCTCAGAGACCTGGGCAACCTCCCCTGGAATGGTTCCAGGGACAGGGCAGCAACCACCTCTCTGGGCAACCTGGGTCAGGGGCTCACCACCCTCAGTGTCAAAAATTCCTTCCTTCTCTCTAGTCTAAATCTCCCTCTTTTAGTTTAAAACCATCACCCCTTGTCCTGTCCCAACAGGCCCTGCCAAATAGTCTGTCCCCAGCTTCCTGACAAGCCCCCTTTAAGTCCTGAAGTCTGCAGTAAGGTCTCCCTGGAGCCTTTTGGACACTGCTGTAGATGCCTGATAGCAGCCACCACCTGGCAGCAGGTTCTGGGCTGGATGGCTCTGCCCTGACCCAGGGCAGCTGCTTGGGGCACTCTCATGAACCACCTTTTTCCCCCCATGGGCACCGAGCCCCCCTCTCTCAGCTGTTGGGTGGTTACTTCTGCTTTGGAAATCCTACAATGACCCCTGAAAGGGTGAAGGAGCAAGGTTGTACCCCCTGTCCCCATACCTGCCAGAGGGGTCCCCCCCAGCTGGTTCCTGACCCTACAACACCCTCTCCTGCAACTGATGCAAGAGCAGGAGCCACCCAACCAGCAGCAGCCAGGGCAGCTGGAAGGCTCCTTCTGTTTGTATTTCCCGGAGTGTTGAAATCTCCCCTGTGTCTTCCCAAGGAGATTAACCCTTTTGGTGGCCAGGCTGCAACACAAAAGCCTTCTTCAGTGCCCAGGAATGAGCAGAGCCCTGGGCTGCCAGGGCCGGCAGGCAGGGACACGTCAGGAGTCAGGGGGAATGTGCTACCCCAGCGTTTGGGAGATTAATTCATTACAAAGGGCATCTTTCATGGACGTAAACAGTTGCCTGGAAGCCTCCCCGGACTAATGGCATCTGGATTTTATTGCAAAAGAGCCACTTGAAAAGACAAGAACCACAAAAATGTTTTTGGCAAGAGCAGCCACCAGTGGGCCCTGCCAGAATAAATGGTTTCTGTTATTTTAATTTTAGTAGAGCTTGGGGCTTTATTTAATTACTTAATAGGAGAGGAAGACGTTCCTCAAAGGGAGCATTTGGGCTGTGTGTGCCTGGTCATATCTGGCCTTTTGCAGGTCCAGAATGTGGTGTCCAGGATGGACATTTCCTTGTCAAGCCCCAGGAGGTAGCTCTCAGGGCTGCTGCTCACGGGGGCTGTGGCCCCTTCCCCAACCCAACAGGCTTTGTGGGACCTCACTTTGGTAATGCAACAGTCTGGATTTGTCTTCTCTTGGAGCTGCTGCAGCAAGTCCTCCAGCACCCAGGCAGAGTGGGAGAGGTGCAGTTCAGGGAGGGCTGCCTTGGAGGGCTGGGCTGGGGGGTGATGCTGTGCAAGGGCTGAGCACCAGGTCCCAGGGACACACACAGTGCCACCCTGGGGTTTCCTGATGCACCCAGGAGTGCCAGTCCTTGGGCGTCCCAGGACGAGGGTCCCAACCCTCAAACACTCCTGGAGTGGGAACTGAGCTTTGGCGTCATGTTTGTTATGGCTTTTCTCTCTCTCTATGGTCTGTACAATGATGACTTTAGAAAGCCTGACTTGGAGTTTCCCAGGGCAAGCAGGGTGGTGGCTTGACCCCCTCACCCTGGAGATCAGCGTCCACAGAGACACCACCTGAGCTCAAGTCCCTGTTCTTAGCAAGAGCACAACCCCAGGGAACAAAAGTCTCATTTCAGGTCAAGAAACCAGAAATAGGTATCAGGCTCCTTCCTCACAAGGCTGAGCACCCAAGGCCTGTGTTTGTGGAAGTTTAGCTGGGAGGAACGGATGCAATGATGTGTGTTGGTGATATTTGGCAGCAGCCCATGCTGGGTACCCACCTCAGCTCCATTAGGGGCTGGGAAATGGGTTAAAACAGCTGACCTGTGCTGCTGTCCCACCAACTCAAAGCAGCAAGAGAAGCTGGTGATTAGCAAGAAAACAAGCACTGGCTATTCCAGAAATAAGACTTTTTGGGAGCCTGTCTCATGTAGGAGGAGCAGCCTCATGCTGCTGCATCCCCCAGACTTGGGAGCAGCTTTTGGCCACTGGATCCAGGAAACTCAAAGTCAGTTTGCTGTCTGAAGTCCATCTGCTGCTTTGCTCCCAGCTGGACCAAACCGAGCTCTGCTCAGGACCTCCTGGGCTCCTTGGCAGTGTTGCAAGGCACTAAAAGCAGCTGTGGATGAACTTTCTGCAAACCTTTCCCATGGAAACCTAGCCCAGATCTCTCTCGAAGGGAGGTTGATGAAGGGCAGCTCTTCACCAGGCCTCATGCCATCACAACCCAGAGATAAAGCTGCTGTGTTTGCAGTGACCAGCCCCACGTGTTCTAGTGAAACCTGCCCCATATGTGCTAAGGGCAGGACTCATCTCTTCACCCCAGAAGGTGAGGTCCCTCTCCCTGGCAGTCCTAATATGACTTTTAAAACAGCCTGCCAGAGCCTGGGTATCCAGGCTGGGTGGGTTGAAATGATCACCCAGAACAAGGTGTGCCAAGCCTGATGCCACAAACAAACGTTTTCCCCAGCAAACATGGCTGGGGTATAGGTTGAAAGTGCAGAACCACCACCAACCATGTCCTGAGGTGTAGAAAATCCCCAAAGCCGGGGCATCAGCGTGGCACTGGCAGCTCAGGGACATCATTTGTGTCCCCAGACCGCTCCAGCACGCTGCTGGGCCAGCTCCCAGAGCTCTCCCCGGGCACCTGCAGCAGCACAGAGAGCAGGAGGACCTGGTGTTTGCCCTCAGCTTCAGCCATGTTCCCCCTGACCTGGCCACAGCCCCAAGGGCATGCAGGCTGGGAATTATCTGCTGGATAAAGGATGGGAGTGAAGCAGAGACGTGAAGCTGGAGCCTCACACAGCCTGTTTCTACAGAGCTGGGCCTTCCCAAAGGTGCTGGGAACTCCAGTTATTGGGAGCCTTCCATTTCACAGCCTGCACATTGCACTGGGGTCATGAGACACAGCAGAGGACACTGCTTACCCCACCCTGCACCCCAAGACACCTGCCGTGGACAGCTTGGGCTGGGGGCAACCTTCCTCCAGCCTCCAGGGGCTTTCTCCATCTTTGCCACCAGCCTCAGCTACTGGTCCAAGCAGTGGGATACACAGAAAGCAATGGTGGGGAAGGAAACCCCCAGGGCAGGTAACAGAGCACCCAAGAAGCCTCCCTGTTTCCATGGCTGGAGCTGAGTTGCCAGTGAATGTGATAATAAAGAGTGTGCTTCAAAATGAAATTGGCTTGTTCTTGCAAAGTTATCTGGTCTTTGTGTATGAGATGAAGAGGAGGAGGAGGAAAAATACATTCCTTCCCTCTCTGGGAGTCAGCAGTGCTCCAGGCTTGAGGGAATCCCCCTTCCACCAACCACCCAAAAAGCCAAACAGCAACTGGGGTGTGTGCTGGCACTTTTGTGCCCCTCTCTCCTTCCTGGTGGCAGTTTCTGCCTCTCCCACTTGTGAGCTGCCTTCCATGGGTCATGTTGTGACTGAGGTGGTGGTGGATGCCCTGGCATGGCTGGGAGAGCAGAGCAGGGAGGGAAGATTAACTGTTCCAGGAGGCTGATTTCACCTCTCAGTTCTCTGAGAAAGGCTGCCAGGATTTCTGTCTCCAGGAAGAGTCTGGAAACCGGTGATAGGCATGTACCAGAGCTGGCAGTCCTGGGGGAAACAGGGAGCCTTCTCCAGCATGAAGCTACCACACATACTGGAGACCCCACCTCAAATACTGCATCCAGTTCTGGTGTCCTCACCATCAAAGGGACATAGATCTGTTGGAATGAGTCCAGAGGAGGCCACAAAGATGGTCCAGGGGCTGGAGCATCTCTGCTCTGAGGACAGGCTGAGGGCACTGGGGTTGTTCAGCCTGGAGAAGAGAAGACTCTGGGGGGACCTTAGAACTGCTTCCAATACCTGAAGGGAACCTCCAGGAAGGTGGAGAGGGACTTGTCACAAGAGTGTGCAGCAACAGGACCAGGAGAAATGGTTTGAAACTGAAGGAGAGCAGGTTTAGACTGGGTCTTAGGAAGAAGTTCTTCAGTCTGAGGGTGGTGATACTCTGGACTAGATTGCCCAGAGAGGTTGTGGATGCCCCTCCCTGGAGGTGTTCAAGGCCGGGCTGGATGAGGCCTTGACCAACCTGCTCTAGTTGAGAGGTGTCCCTGCCCCTGGCAGGGGGGTTGGATGAGATGATCTCTGGGGTCCATTTTAACCTCAGCCGTTCTATGAGCCTATCATTCTATGAACAAGGAGGATGGGGAAACTGAGGCACAGCAACCACAGGGACTCGGTGCAGCCCCAC